TCACGTAATGATTATAATTATAATCAGGCTCCAAGCACTTATAATGATAAAATATGTCAATCAAACCCCAATTATAATAATTATTCATAAAATTAGGCCCCATGATACTCAGGCCCAGTACTCGAAGGTATGCGACAGATTACTGAACGGTAAGAAGCATGCGCACTGTCTCTGGGAGAAGTTGGTGAAGTTGAAGACAGACAAGCCCAATGCTGTTAGCATTATTTCTATTTATTATTATTATTGTTATTATTATTAATGTTTTTATTATTATTGTTGATGTTTTTATTGTTATTATTAATGTTTTTATTGTTATTATATTGATAGAAATAATGCATGGTATATTATTTTGGATATGTTTCATTACTCCTATGCACTTATCAATGGTAAATAAACATAGGAAGATTCTACATTTCAACACTTTTTTCTGTATAATTATTTAGACTCTTTTAGATTTTTCTTCATTTTATCTTCTTTACCTTGTTTGGAATTTCAAAAAAAAAAATGTTTTCGTTGTTGTTGTTGTTGTTTTTGTTTCTATTCTTGTTCTTATTACTATATTGTTGTTTGTGTGTTGTTGTGTGGTGGTTTAAAGTGTTGAGTTATTATCCATGCAATTTTAATTTTTAGTAGCAAGTGGCAAGAAGCAGTTGTACAAGTTGTACAACACAAGCTTCATTTACTCAATATCATTCATTAAGTAGGACTGGCCTGTGTCAGCCAACTTCATTTTCTTCTGAATAGAGGGAAAGTGTGTGTGTATGTGTGCATGTGTGTATATGTGTGTGTGTGTGTGTTTGTAAGTGTTATAACTATTCATAGTAAGGCTGTCTGTATCAGCTAACTTGATTTTATTTTATTTTCTTCTGGATAGAGAGAAAGTGTGTGCGTCTGTGTGTTTGTGTGTACGTGTGTGTATATATATGTGTGTGTGTGTTTGTAAGTGTTATAACTATTCATATTAGGGCTGTCTATAGCACCCAACTCAATTGATTTTATTTCATTTTCTGAATAGAGGGAAAGTGTGTGTGTTTGATTGTGTGTGTGTGTGTGTGTTTGTTTTTGTGTTTGTAAGTGTTATAACTATTCATAATAATATTTAAGCATTTTTTTTATCACAATTTAATTATTGTATGCCATGATCAACAGTTGTCTTTCCTATTTTTAGTTTGTATGGACTTTTTTTTGTGTGTTTCAATCTTGCATTGGTGTTCAAAGTCAATCTTGTATGCTGGTACTACTTAGGTTACAGAGTCTTATTACACTTATATTTATGTAGTAGTAGTAGTAGTAGTAGTTGTAGTAGTAGTAAAAATAAAAGTAATTTTATAATTATTATTTATATTATGATTAATAATAGCATCATCATTATTTTTACTACCAGTTTGGTATCATTATTATTATTCATTGCTATTTTTGTTGTTATTATTAGTAGTAGTATTCGTAGTAATAGTAGTAGTGGTAAAATAGTATTAATATTATTATTAGTAGTGGTAGTAGTAGTAGTATCAGTATTATCATTTTATGATACATATAAGAATATATATATAAGAAGTTTTTTTTTGTGTGTTCTGTCTGTCTGTTTCTGTCTGTTGGTGCATACAGTTCTGACATTCCTACCCTTGTGTGAGTAGTCTGAAAGGTAATAGTAGTAGTAGTTATAGTAGTAGTAGTAGTTATCAATATCATTCATTAAGTAGGACTGCCTGTGTCAGCCAACATGGTTTTACTTCATTTTCTTCTGAATAGAGGGATAGTGTGTGTGTATGTGTGCATGTGTGTATATGTGTGCGTGTGTGTATATATGTGTGTGTTTATACTAATGGCATAAGTATAGGTATAAATAATAGGTTGCAGTAATTTTATAAGTAATAGTTATGTTATTTGAAACCGAGCAGTAGTGTTGGTAGTATGTTAATAATGGTAGTGTATATATACATGTGTGTATAAGTTGAAGAATGTTTTTAAAACTGTGTGTGTGTGTGTGTGTGTGTGTGTGTGTGTGTGTGTGTGTGTGTGTGTGTGTGTGTGTGTGTGTGTGTGTGTGTTTATTTATTTTTAAACCACCATCATTATAACCAATCATGTGATTAATATCATTACAGATTGCTGATGTGGTATTATCACATGATGTTATTGTTCTGGCATCATTACTACCGTTATCATATCCCGTCACATTAACTTTAAATAACCTCTATTACCTACCTTATCATCATCATCATTGTGTAGTCTGATTATACCAGTATGACCATTGTCATTTCCAGTATAGTCAGATCTGATATATAACACTAGTGTTTCATTATCGTAATTTTATCTTTGTATTATGTTGTTATCTTTGTGATGTTATTTTTGTAATATCATCTTTGTAATGTTATCTTTATAATATTATCTTTGTAATATTACCTTTGTAATTTTATTGTTAGTGCTACCATAGCATTGCTGTCACTCTGTCTCTATATTGTCATCCACAGAACCAGATTGTCATATTTCATACCGGCAGCATATACAGTGGCATGCCATCATCGTTACCAAATTACATATCAGTATCGTTGATGATATCATATCATCATTGTACAATCACATGGCCATTCAATTACATCGTCATTATTATCATCATCGTCGTCATCGATGAATCATATTATAACCCCTACAATTGATTGATTGATTGATTGATTGATTGATTATAATTATAACCTCTGGAGTAAGTGGCCTGGTTGACCTCTAACCTTTCATATCAATCTCATCCCCACCACCAGTTTTTGATATCAGTAGTTGGTACCCTGGTGACGGTAGCTTGGATTGGCAGTCTCATCGATACACTCCTACTTATCTATCTGGCCGGTCAGTTCACTTATATTCACCTCATATATATATATATATATATATATACATATATATATATATATATATATGTGTGTGTGTGTGTGTGTGTGTGTGTGTTTGTATATATGTATGTATATATGTGTGTGTGTGTATTTGTGTGTATAATAACATAAATGCCTTTGGGTTATTAGAAGCACTTTGTATGCTAATTAACATATTGGACTAAAGGGTCATTAGCATATGCATGCCAGCATATTTTCTGCTAATGATATTAGCATGGATTCTGATTGACTGACAGTGATTAGGTTGTACTTAAATGGCAGTGATGTTGATTGTACAAGTACAGTGATGATGTTCTGCTAAATCAATCTTTGATATTTTAATAATTTAACCCTGTGATATTTGCCAGCTTGATCTAATTCACTATTCATTAATGACATTATTAATTCGTAATAGTATTAACATTAATTTTAATCTCTATTAACTCAATTTAATTTACTATTTAATAATAATAATAATAATTAATCCATTCGTGCAGTTGTTGTGGTCACCATGATTCCAGGATTGCGCAAGCACGGAATCATCCAGAAGGTCACTGACCTCATCAAGTCCAAAGTCAACAAGGCAAAAGCGCAATAAGAGAGAGAGAGAGGGGGATGGGGGATGGGGGTAGAGAGATGTGAAGGTGAGTAAATGAGTGAGTGAGTGAGTGAGTGAGTGAGTGAAGAAATGAATGAGT